GCTCTGCCCTTGCCGTGGCCCAGCCACCCCTGGGAACACCACGGTGACCCCACCGCTGCCAGGGCCGATGCCACGGCCGCTCTGGCACATCCCTGGCCTGGCTCGCCGCCTCGCTGGCACGGGGCAGGAGCAGGAGCCAACCCGGCGTGCCTTGGTGGAGACGTGGGAAACAATTTGCAGGTGAAAGGACTTTTTGCCGTGGCAAATTACCCTCGACTGCTGCGGCCCGGGCGCTTGTTATTCCGGGCAGGACGGCACAGCACGGCGGCCGGGCTGCTCAGCAGGAGGAACGAGGCCATTTGCTCGTTCCGGCCTTGTGGGAACGGCTGAGGAGAGAGCAGCCGCCAGCAGCGGGATCCTGCCCTGCCCTGCTGCTGCCCTGGGGATTTCGGGACACATCTGGCCAGATGTTTTCCCTCCGGCAGCCTCAGGGTAGGAGCAATGCCCAGCTGGGCTGCGCCGGGGTCTTTATCCGGCAGATTAGGCGGCGGGGCAGTGCCGGGCCGGGGGTGTAGAGATAATTTCGTTGGGTTTTAGCATTTATTTCAGGAGTTCAATGTCATTACGGGCAGATCCCCCACTAAATCCCCGGTCTGTTACAGCTGCAGGGCTCTAAATCGCCTCATCCCAGGGGAGCTGCTTGAGCTGATTCCATTTTTTATGGTTTTTTTTTCCACGTTTTGTTTCTTTTTTCCCCATTTAAACGCCACTCTCCGCGGGGGATGAAGAGCTCAGGTGCCAGCCCCAAGGTCAGCCTGGCTGACCCCGTGCCCGAGGGGCGGCACCTGCCGTGGCTGGGGCTGCCTGTGGAGACCAGGATGGGACGGAAAAACGGGATCCAGGATGGAGAAACGGGATCCAGGATGGAGAAACAGGATCCAGGATGGGATGGAGAACTGGGATCCAGGATGGAGAACTGGGTTACAGGATGGGATGGAGAAGAGGGATCTAGGATGGAGAATTGGGATCCAGGATGGGATGGAGAAATGGGATCCAGGATGGAGAACTGGGATCCAGGATGGGATGGAGAAGAGGGATCCAGGATGGAGAATTTGGATCCAGGATGGAGAATTGGGATCCAGGATGGGATGGAGAAGAGGGATCCAGGATGCAGAATTTGGATCCAGGATGGAGAATTGGGATCCAGGATGGGATGGAGAAATGGGATCCAGGATGGAGAACTGGGATCCAGGATGGGATGGAGAAATGGGATCCAGGATGGAGAACTGGGATCTAGGATGGAGAATTGGGATGCAGAAACAGGATCCACGATAAAATGGAGAGGCAGGATACAGGATGGACTGGAGAATTTGGATCCAGGATGGGATGGAGAACTGGGATCCAGGATGGGCTGGAGATTTGGGATCCAAGACAGGATTGAGAACTGCGATCCAGGACAGGATGGAGAGTTGGGATCCAGGATGGAATTGAGAACTGGGATCCAGGATGGGAGGAGAATTGGGATCCAAGAGGGGACTGAGAACTGGGATCCAGGATGGGATGGAGAACTGGGATCCAGGATGGGATGGAGAACTGGGATCCAAGAGAGGACTGAGAACTGGGATCCAGGGTGGGATGGAGAACTGGGATCCAGGGTGGGATGGCTCCTCCAGGAGACCCAGCCCATCCCCAGGGGAGGTTCTGCGGGGTTATCTCCCCAGAGCCTGGCACAGGGCGCTGGCCAGGGGGGTCCCTGCAGAGCTGGCAGGGCTCGCTGCCACATTCCGCCTCTCCGGCTGCGAACTCCGTCTCCCTCTCCAAATTCCATTTGACATCCAATTAAAGGCTGGAGCGCCCGGAGGTTCGGCGTCGCTGCGGTGCCGGAGCCGCGGGGGCGACGCGCTGCCTCGCGCCACGCCGCTGCCACCGTCCCCCCCGGGTGCCACCGCGCCGAGCCGCGGGGCCACGGCACAGAGCGCCCTTCGTGCGGCCCGGGGGGGTCCCGGGCTCCCACCTGGCCTCCCCCCGGGTGGAGAATGGTCGCCTTTCAGGGGGATGGTGGCACGCGGGGCCGGGGGGGCTGAATGGAGCCTGTGAGCCCAGGCTTGGCGGGCGCCCAGCGCTGATCTCAGCGGCTCCTGCGCCGCAGCGACGCGGGGCTGGCGCCCACCCAAAGCCTCCCCACAGCGCTGACCCCCGGGGTCCCCGGCGCCCGCGTCATCCCCGCCGTGGGCAAGCTCTCCCGGGGGGATTCGGGGATGGGGTTTGGAGGCACGTGGGTGGGAAGCGTGGGTGGTTTGGAGTTTCGTGGGGTGGCTTCGGGTGTGTTCAGCCCTGCTGCTCCAGGTTCCAGGTGATGCGTCCCCTCTAAAGACCCCCAAAGGTGTGACGCCCCTCTTTTAGACAGCCTCTGCTGTGTCGAGGCCAAGCAGCTCAAATTTTGGGTTTCCCTCACCCCGAACTCATCCCTGCTCAGAAAGCAACCCCCAGTGAGGTGCTGCTGGGACAAGGACACAACCAGCCTTGGGATTCGCCTTGAGGTCCCCAAAGAACACCCCTGGTGTCCCCAGAATCACCTCCCACCCTTGCCCCCACCAGCTGTGCTGTGCTGGGGTGCTGGGGGACCCCCGGGCAGGGTGGGGTGTGGTGTCAGGGTTGGCTGCAGCCTCTCGGCAGTGACAGGCGAGGATTTAACGCTCTCCGAAGGAAATTGAATTTGGTGTCTCTGTCGAACACAGCCGGAGAGAACGCCCTCGTATATCCTCGGGATTTATGGTTTTCCCCAGGCTCCCGCCGTGCCGTGTGTGATTCTGCTGTGGCGCTCCCAGAGCGGGGTGGCCCTGTGGGGAATTCAGCCCGGTGGCCCCACAGACCCCCCTGGGCATCCCCTCGGTGTCCCCAGGTCCCGCTGTGCCTCCCATGCCAGCGGGAATTCTGGACTGGGATGTCCAAGGGCAGGATCTGGGGGTGCCAGCAGGGAGCCCTGAAGGTTTACCCTGAGTTAAGGCAAAACTCAGTAAATTTGAGGCTTTTAGACACACAACCAGTGCCAGAGCAGGCTGTGCTCCCTGCCTGGGGCTGGGTGTTCCCACTCGGTGTCCCGGCGGGAGCCACCATGTGCCCAAAGCACCCTGGCAGTGCCAGGTGTCCCCATGCCACCTCCCCTCCATCCCTTGGGGACAGCGCTGTGTTTGGCTGGCAGGTTGTGCCATCCCTGCCTGCTCTCCTGGCTGTCACAGCAGCGAAGTGACAGCAGTTTTGGGGGTGACATCACTGCCATTGATGGTGCTGTCCCTCTGTCCCCCGTGGCACATCCAGCAGGAGCAGCCGGGGTGAACCCACAGGAGCTCCAGGGCCCAGATTTGGGGACAGGAGTCTCTCTGGTGGCCTGGGGGACGCCGAGGGAGGTGTCCCCCTGCGCCTGCAGCCGCGTCCCCCGCCGGGCCCCGCACATGCCAGTTCATTTCACGCCAAGTGCTCTTGATGGATCGCTTGTTATTTTTGGTGAGCCGAGCCATAAATTTGTGCCACCTCACTGCAGAGAGCTGATAAGTGGGGACGGGAGAGCACCTCCGCCTGGCACGGTGGGGACACGGGCACCCTGCCTGCGCCAGGGACGTGCCACCCCAGGCTGGGGTCCAGCTGACAGCCCTGGGACATTTTGGGGTGGCTGTGACACGGTTGGGGCGCTGGGAGTGTGCTCAGTGATGCTCTCGGCGGTGTCAGCGTGGGGACAGGCATCGCTGTACCCCCCTGAAATGTCCCACGCTGGGCTGTCCCCATCCCTGTCCCCATCCCCGTCCCTTGCCCACTCTCATTTGGGCATTTCTCTCTCCTAGGCAATGCGGTCGAGGAGAACCAGAAGGTGAAGACCCAGTGGCCACGGTCAGCGGATGAACCCGGGGTCTACATGGCCCAGACAGGTACCAGGAACGGGCAGGGGGACACTGGTGACACCAGGCTCATTCACCTGGGCAGGGGTGACAGAGATGGAGCGAGTCCCTTTAGCTCCCTGCCCACGGACTGCCTTAATTCGCTCCATTTATATATTTTTTCCCTCTGCACTTTCCTCCGAGGCTTGTAAAGCAGAAGCGGGAAAAAAAAAAAGAAAAAAAAGAAAAAAAAATCTATTAATTGTTTCGTTCAAATGTATTTATTTGGCAAATCCATCTGGGTAATTGGAGTGTGCTGCTCCCCCCTCCCCAGCCTCCCTGATTTATGGGCGGAGGGCTCGGAGGCGAGCAGGAGATGGATGGGCCCCGGCTCTGCTCCGTGTGCCCGGCATGCAGAATTCCCGGCCACGCTCACGGGGCTCCTGCCCCACCGGGAGCTCCTGGGTCACCCTGCCCAGTCTCGGGGTGCCCGTGTGACCCCAACACGTTGTCACCCCCGCGGGTGACACAGAGCCCGCGTCCTGCCTGTCTGCAGGACAAACGGTGCCTTTGGAGGCCTCCCCCATCTATCCCCGTTTAATTTAAACGGATGGGCTCTGCTGCTGGGCTGTCCAAGAGCCTCAGAGACATCATCAACCTTAATAAGAGCCGCTTGTTGGAAATGTCAGCGTGCGACGGGCCGGGGAGAGGGAGCTGCGGAGGGCTTCCCACGCTGCCCATGCTGCCCATGCTGCCCACGCTGCCCACGCTGTCCACGCTGCCCACCCTGTCTGTGCTGCCAACTGCCCACCCTGCCCATGCTGTCTGTGCTGCTTGTGCTGTCCAGCCTGTCCATGACTGCCCACCCTGTCCATGCTGACCACCCTGTGCTTCCCACCCTGTGCTGCCCACCATGCACACACTGCCCACGCTGCCCACCCTGTTTGTGCTGCCCACTGCCCACCCTGTCCATGCTGCCCACCCTGTTTGTGCTGCCCACTGCCCACCCTGTCCATGCTGCCCACCCTGCCTGTGACCGCCCATGCTTCCCGCTGCCCACTGCCCACCCTGCCCATGCTGTCTGTGCTGCTTGTGCTGTCCAGCCTGTCCATGACTGCCCACCTTGCCCGTGCTGCCCACTGACCACCCTGTCCACCCCACTCGTGCTGCCTGTGCTGCCCACCCTGTCTATGCTGCCCACTGACCACTCTGCCCACCCCACTCCCCCTGTCCATGCTGTGTGTGCTGCCCACCCTGTCCACCCTGCTCACCCTGCCCATGCTGCCCGCTGCCCACTGCCCACCCTGCCTGTGCTGCCCACTGCCCACCCTGTCCACCCTGCTCACCCTGCCTGTTCTGTCTGTGCTGCCCACTGCCCACTCTGCCCTTCTCACCCTGTCCATGCTTGTGCATGCTGCCCACTGCCCACCTTGCCCTGCTCACCCTGTTCCTGCTGCCCCCTGACCACTCTGCCCACCCCACTCCCCCTGTCCGTGCTGTCTGTGCTGCCCACCCTGTGCACTCTGCCCACCCTGCCCATGCTGCCCACTGCCCATTGCCCACTCTGCCTGTGCTGCCCACTGCCCACCCTGCCCTGCTCACCCTGCCCCTGCTGCCCCCTGACCACTCTGCCCACCCTGCCCGTGCTGCCCACTGCCCACTGCCCACCCTGCCAGCCCTGCCAGCCCCTCCTGGCATGCACCCTGTCCCTCCCACCAGCTGCCATCCCGTGCCTCAATCCCTTCTCCAGCCCCATCCGAGGCCTCACCTCACTGACACCCTCCGTGCCACCCCGGTCACCCTCAAACCCTCACCCCTACACCCACCTCTGCCAGCCACCCATCTCCCTGTCCCCTTGCGGGGCTGCACTGGTGGCGTGTCCCCTGTCGCCTGTCCCCTCTCAGGCTCCCTGTGTCCCGCAGGGGACCCCGCGGCGGAGGAGTGGTCGCAGTGGAGCGTTTGCTCCCTGACGTGCGGCCAGGGCTCCCAGGTGCGGACGCGCTCCTGCGTCTCCTCTCCCTACGGGACGCTGTGCAGCGGGCTGCTCCGGGAGACGCGCACCTGCAACAACACCGCCACCTGCCCAGGTACGGGGGACACCGGCGACACCGGCGACACCGGCGACACCGCGGGGCTGCGCGGGGCAGGAGGGTGGGGGCAGAGAGAATGCGTTGCTGGGATCAACTCAGGGTGGATGAGAAGGGTGGCTTGGCACGGTTGTGGTGCCCGCCCTGCGCTGGGGTGCTCCGGGTGCTGTTGGCATCCCTCCATCCCCTGGAGTCCCTCTTGGGGAGGTGTTGGAATGTGCCCCGTGCCCTGTCAGCCGTGCTGCTGCCGGGGGTTTGCCTGAGGAAATCCTTTCCATCCTTTCTCCTGGTGAACTGGGGGCTCCTCCTGGATGTCCCCGAGGTTTTGTGCTGGAGCCTGGGGGATTTGGAGCCCGGAATTCCGAGGGGTTCCCGCTGCCGTGGGGCAAGAGGGGGCTGAGCTGCTCGGTGCCCCGAGGCGGGGGGCAGCAGGGTGCCGAGGAGCTCCCGGCTGTCCGTGGTGGTGTCCGTGCGTCTCATGTGGGACACGGGAGGGACCTCAGGGTGCCACAGTGGCAGCCACACTGCCCTGTCCTAATCTGGGGTGTTTCGAGGGATTTTCACCCCCAGGACATGCAGTGTCTGCTCCTCTCCGTGCCGGGGAGTGCAGCCCTGTCCTGGCACCCCCAGGACATCGGAGCTCGAGGAGGAACATCCTTTAGGATGGTCCCTGAACTTTCCTGGAGCGCTGAGCTCCCGTGGGTGCGAGGGGCAGGTCGTGCTCGGTGTGCTGATGTTGTAAACGCAGGCGAAGCCAGTGGGAAGAAATGAGGATGTCTGACTCAATTCAGAAGGCTGAATGATTTCTTTATTATAACTATGGCTAAAATACATTAATATACTATATAAAAAGGAAAATACTAAAACTAAACACTACTTTCTGTGACTCTAACACAACTCGTGACCCTCTCTGAGAGCCCAGCCCCAGGTGGGTTGGATTGGCCACCAGGCTCAAACAATCCTCACCAGAATCCAACCCAGCACTCACTCCAGGTACAGTTCTCCAAACACATTCCACATGGAAAACAAGGAGCAGAAACAGAAATCGTTTTCTCTTTCATTTCTCTCTGTGCACCTCTATGAAAATCCTGAGAGGGAGAAAAATGTGCTTGCCACATGCTGCCAGGGACTGGGGTGACCCGTGTGTGGCTTTGGGTGTCGGAATCTGTGCTATTGATGATCCCGAGATTGTACAAAGTCTCTGTCTGTCAGCCCTGCTGCCAAAGCAGAAGCCATCATTGGTCTGTGCTGGATTCCAGGTTGTTTATTCTGTTGATCTCTCACATGTTCTGCTGCCCTGCCCAGCTCTGTCCTGCAGGGCAGCGTGTGGGGCTCTGCCCTCAGTGGGATGTGACAAACATTCAATACCAGAAACTCCCTGGGCTGCATTTACAAGAACGTGCCAATATCTGTCACCTACGTTGGACAGTGTGTCCCCAGCCTGAACCAACAGAAAAATGCCAACACCACAGTGAGACATGGAGGGCATGAAGAAGGAGAAAAAGGACAAGGCACACCCAATTTCCTCCAGCTTGTCCCCTTTGAACCCCTCATCTAGAATCCTAAAATTTTACTTTTGCACCCGTGCCACACTTAATTATTACTGATATCAAACACTCAGAGCTGGTAATTTGTGCCGTAAGATTGAAAACTCTTTTCCATGGCCAGAGATCACAGCCAGTGTCTCTGGGGGCTCTGTCCAGGGGGGTTCCTGACCCCTGCCAGGGTCCCAGGGCAGACAGAGGGATGCTCTGGATTCCCACATTGGGGGGACACGCGCCGCCAGTGCCAGCACCACAGAGGGAGGCTGGAGCAGCGCTGCCAGCTCAGGGGTGACGACGGGGCAGGCAGGGCTGGGAACCGAGCCCGGCTGAGCCCTGGGCAGGGCGCGAGGGCTCTGCCAGGCCAGGAGCCCTCGGTGCCAGGAGCCCCCGGGCTGTGCTGTGTTGCAGTTCTCGGCGCGTGGGAGGAGTGGTCCCCGTGGAGCCTGTGCTCGGTGACCTGCGGGCGAGGGGCCAGGACCAGGACGCGGCTCTGCGCGGCCTCGCGGCGCCGAGGGAAGGCCTGCGAGGGCCCCGAGCTGCAGGCCAAGCCCTGCAATATCGCGATCTGCCCGGGTCAGTACCTCCCTCCCTCTCCCCACGCTCCTTCTTCCCGCCGGGAACGCCAGGAGACGGCACCAGGAGCTCCTGGTGCCGCGAGGGACGGGTGGCACCGCCACGGGCAGCGGGGACGCGGGGCTGCCGTGACACCACGCGCACCGTCCGGTCCCCGCTGGAGATCCCGGTGGGAATTCGGCGCTGCTGGCCGTGCCGGGGTCTCACGACCCCAGCGTGGGCAGGGTCCAGCCTGGGCACCACAAAGGAGGCAGCTCCTTCCCTGCCCCTCTGCTGTGCCTGGCACTGGGGTGGCACAGGGACACTGTGGGGCTCAGGGAGGTGGCAAAGGGGGTCGGCTGCAGGGTCTGTCTGCTCACAGCTGGCAGTGCCACTGCTGTCCCTTCCTCCTGCGTGCCAGGAGCGGCCGTGGTGGTGGCTGTGGGGTTTCTGCGGTGACGGGCAGGGATGCCATGTGTCTCCTGGAGCAGGAGGGAGCGCGGGAGCTGCTCCTGCAGCAGCTCTGACAGGGACTGGCAGCCGTGGCACACCGCTTTGGGCACGGCTGTCCTGTGGCGATGCTGCTGGAGTCTCGAGCTTGGCAGGGAACGATGCCAGGGATGCCAGATTTGGTTGGAAGTGGTGCCAGGGACGACGGATTTGGCAGGAGTGATGACAGGGATGGTGGATGTGGTTGGAAGCGATGCCAAGGATGCTGGATTTGTTAAAAAGCAATGCCAGGGATGCTGGATTTGGCCAGAAGTGATGCCAGGGATTCTGGGTTTGGTTGGAAGTGATGCCAGAGCTGCTGGATTTGGCCAGAATTGATACCAGGGATTCTGGGTTTGACTGGAAGCGATGCCAGGGCTGCTGGATTTGGTGAAAAGCAACACCAGAGCTTCTGGATTCAGCAGGACTGATGCCAGAGGCTTGGCTGGGAGCAATACCAAGGGTGCCAG